TTATTTAGTAAATACAACTTACATGCAACCACCCTCCCTAAGACATGCTTCTTTGTTAGATCACGCAATAACTCATCTAACTTAATTTTAAATACCCTTGATATAATATCTGGACGATCATGAGGTTGAAGATTAACTTTGTTAAGTAACCTTTGAATTTCTGGCCAATTTGGATTGCAAGTAAAAGTGATAAAAAGGTCTGGAAAACCAATATGGCTGCATATTACCATCCCATCAAAATACAGTTGTTCCATGTATCTACGGCTTCCAACATAGGTTAACGGTAAAACGAATCTTTTACCTTTGTTTGCCCCTTGAGTGTTTTCCCTTTGTTCGGGAGCAGACAAATTGGAGTACTTAGACACTCTAAGTTTCTTCTGATGCTTGCGGATATAATTCAATATTTTGGACTCCATCATAGTAAATCCATCGATCAAAAATTGCTAAAACAACCGCCTTGACCTCAAAAGAGTATATGCTTCATTACAACGACTTTGAATCCTAAAAGCTAGCTATTCTCTAATGGTAAGCTTATTTTGCTTACCTTTTTTAATTGCACTTATATCTCTGTGTAGAACACCAAGTCTAAAACCATCTTCCCCAAATTGAAACATAAGCGGATATTGTAACGCAAGATAACTTGGATGAAACTCACTTATTATTTTCAGCTTTCCAGTCTGTTTTTCAATAATTATATCCCTTTTAGAACCTTTATCAACATCACCAATGATAAGTGCAGCTACCTTCGAAACAGTCTGTTGGTTGTACGTTCTTCCATCCTTTGATCTGTCAACTATTAACTCCAGCTTTAGATCAGGCACGGGAGTATCCTTTAATCTATCTGCAGCCATTCTAAATGATTTAGCGTGTGTGTTGAACTCATCCAGCATAGCTTTCAATTTGTTGACAGTTTCTGTAACAATATTGGGATTGTTACTGCAAAATAGAAATAATAGTTAGCATTCATAAAAAAAGCAACTCCAAAAATTTAATTTCATCAAGCCTGGTAAGAACAGAAGCAATACCCTATTCCTTCAATTCTATGTTGAATCTCGTTGTCAGTGTCGTAAATATATATTTGCTCAAACTTAGGTGATTGTCAAGGTAAAGTATCATGCTCCCAATTCTATGGCAAGACTTTCCATGTATTCTTATGTTAGGTGGTCATCTACCATTTTGGAATCTATTGCCAAACTTCATACCAGGAGAAGTAAATGCAAACATAATGTTGTATAATCTGCAATGCTGCTGGTAATTTCGACAGTCTACATTATTGTTATCAAACAAAAGATGTTTAAGTAATGGTGGTGGTGGTTTCAAAAGTGGTAACACAACTTTCCCATTTACACAACATAACTGGAACTTGGGAACTACACTATGTTTTCGTTTGTCTGTCTTTTCTTGATACCACATTAGGGCTCCGCAATGCGTGCATTCAATTGCAGGATCACCAATGTCTGAATAACCTAAATAAATCAAAGATAATGTAACATATCATGTAAAAGAGCAGTAAGTTTAAGTATCTTTCATTGGTCTCTTTGAAATATAAGAACCGTTTAACTACACATAAAATATTAGAATTTTGACACGTACCAGAGTTGGGACAATAAACCGGGGTAGAAGTGTTATCATAGTATTGATCGTCATCTGAACATGAATATGTGTCATCGTCACCCTTTTTATTTATAAATTCGCATAAACTATCGCTGAAATATTCATTTGTCGAACATTCTTCATCTGACACATCACTTTCAATGTTAGAACTTGTAATAGAAATGTTAGCATTTGTAGTAGATGGTAAATGATTTATGGATGAAGAGGCAACTCCATGATCAATGTTTGAAAAAGCATGGAAAAGATTAGCGATAACCAACCGAATGAAACCAACATTCAACTGTATTTTAGATGAATATACGTATCCACTTGACTGAGCATGTATATTATTATACCTTTGATTATACGATGAGGATTTTATTGCACACGGAGTCGTATCTGAATTTTCAGTGAGTGCAACATGGTTTAACACATCACCACCATTATTGTTGACAATGTTGTCGTCATGTATACTTGACACGTTAGCCTTCTGTCTAATAATTCTCATCCTTCTCTGCCTTGCAGACGCGGACGAATGTGGTGGGGACAAATGATTAAAAGTAATGTTAGGTTTGGAGCTGCCTAATAAAGATGTTGGTGTCTTTAGACAAGATAATGACGAAGATGCAGAATATCGATTCTCACGACCAAACAACTTATGGATATTTGATAAATAACATGATTCACACCCACGTTCAATCTATGTGCATTATCAAGAACAATTGCAATTGGCATTGAATTGAAATTTGGCTTCGTCGAATTCAAAATTGAATTGCTAATATTAGATAGAGGTGTTCTGAAATGATTTTTGGCGAGACTTCTGATGTCATCAACTCGGTTCCTCTTAGTTCTTCTATCTTTGATAATTTGCTTCCTTTTGCTTCTTGCCAAGGTTGCTAATTTTTTCCTGTCCAGAATATGTGAATCCATCTTAGTTGAATAACACAAACTAACAACTAAATTAGCATGTAAAAGTAGGAAATGAAACAGTCAATAACTAATAAAGTTTGCAAGTTCATCATGTACATGTTATTTTTACTCATATGAACAAAAAAGAGGCAATTTGTTTGTTATGTGTTCTATGTAAAGGTAACATATTCTCTCTCATGATGTTCATTATTAAATTAAAGGTTATGTAAAGATAAGTCATAGTATTTTAAAAAAAGTAGGAGGGTTTGGAAAATGTAAAAACCTTTACATGTCTACCCCATTTTACGTATATGATGGATGTTGGAAACTGAACTTAATTTATTATTCAATAAGTTAAAAGGTAATACATGCATGTGTTACACATTGAGATACTACTTACATCGTGAAAAGGTATTATTAACCAAAGTGTAATAATGCACATGTTGGAAGCTTAAGTGAAAAGGGAATACAACTGCAGTAAAAAAAATTGTGGGCTGCAATGCATGACACGGTATACCAAGAAATATAATAGGGATGGTCCAAAGATTTTCTGCATTAGTAGGTATTGTGACATCAAATCAAATAAAGACCTTTAACCATTATTAGAAGTAACATATTCATGTATTTAATTCTATTTAAAGGAGAACTTGTGTATGATATTCTTGCATTAGTATTGAAATCGTTCCCTCTCCATATCAGAAGATTTTCTAAGTGAAACGGGTTGCATGTCTTCTCCAAGCTTGAGTGGGTAAGTCTCAATTTCTAAAATTATGTAACCATTTTTGTTGTGTTATTAATATGGTTGCATGCATTTTTTTGAAGTATTATAGTCATTCATGATTTGTGATAACTGGACAGATTTGTGCCACTAAACACCTCTCAACTTTATGATATGCTATGCAACATTAAGGAAGAGCCAGAGGCAGATTTACATGAGTCATCTCCTGCCGATGTGTTGTTTAATGAAACTAATGATGCAAAGAAGGAAGTGAAAAAGGATAGCCTCATTAGAGAACCTTCAAATCCGAATGCAGGTGTGGGAGAGTTGAAGGAAGAGATGACATGGTTAAAAGAGATAAGCAAAGCTGGAAAGAAGGGGAATCAAGTTTTTGTAATTAAGATCCTTAACTATATGAATCAGTGAATTACATTATATATAATTTACATTTTTGGATATTTACTGTATGTGTTCTGACATGCAACATTTCCCGGCTAACATGATAGAAAATTGCCTCCGTCCCGACATTAGCTCGTGCTTTGTTAGGGATTTCCACACCAGCGAGTATCATTCATGAAAGATAATGAAATCTAACAGGAAACATGTGGAAATGTACTTGGGAAAAGGGTGGTATTCGTATGCTAAGGGGAAAAAACTAAAGGTGGGAGATACGCTTGCATGCACCTACAATTCAGATAAGAAAATCTTGTTTGTGAGGTTGTACCGAAAAGGTGAAATTCAGATGAAAGAGTGAAGTGGATATTATGTATGTTTTGGCTGGAAAAAAGCAGGAGTTTTGTACCAAGTTGGGAATAATGTTATGTTCTATGTTTAGTTATGGGAATTATATAATGTTTATGTTTAACTTTTTTATTTCATGTTGTTAACACTTTGCTATTAGGGATGCACCGTTTATGTAATGTGTTGCTTTAATTTGCTCTTAGTATCTAAGTGGATAATTCTACTAAGTATCATAGTGAATCAATGCTTTTGCAAAATGTATTTCACAAGTTTGGTGTTCTTTTAGTTAATATTATAAACGAAATATGTTTCCAACAATTTTTTAATTCATATAGTATATTCATCTTCTTACCATATAGCACATAAGACATCTAAACATGTAACAATTACATTAACGGAATATTGTGGAAGATATAGAAACATATTATATTTGGAGGCAAATGATTGTATGTACCTGCTTCTTCATCAAATTGCATGAAGTCAAATAAATGACTATTCATTTTGAAGGTTTTGTAGTGAAGTGTAACATTTAAAGGGCATTTAGGCCTGTAATGAACGAAAAATGAAAGTTTTATTAATCCTGACCTATTAAGATATTACTGAAACCACATAGATATAGTGTATATGAAAAATAGAATTATTTATGAAGTTTAAACAATGTATAAACTAAATATTTGCTGACATCATTAAAAACATGATACAACTTTAATGAATTCACATATATATTGAAGTTGATGAAACAACATCAGTAAATGAGCATATTTAAAACAGGTTTTGCATTGGTTTGACAAAACATACAACTACAATTATGTGACAGTAATAAACTCATATATACTTGGTGCACATTGCAGTATAACATTCAAACCAATTAACCAAAAATATATGATGGAGTTCGACAATCCTCATTCAAGGATATTAAAGAGATCAAACTGAAAACTTTTGAAACAGATCCAAAGTATTCAAGGCAAAAAACTACAAACAATCGGATTGGTTTCTTCAAAACTAACAATAACTTAAAATAACATAAATGTGAATATAACTACTTCTCCTTCTTTATATCCTTAATTAACTTGGTTGCGGAAAGTTGGACACTCTCAATATCTTCAACAACATTAGGTAAAGTTCTTTTTGATGGAGTCAGAGTTGAATTTCCAACAGCAGGGTCATGATCGGCACGAGCAGATAAAGGTTCCTACTGGAAATGTGGATATAATATATCAGCATTAGACAATGTATGTAGATATATGTTTTATATAGAGGGATCATGTTTGAATTAATAACTTACAGTAAAGGATATTGATTCATTTGGGATGAAGGCTCAGTTGGTAGGAGCTTTGAAGTAGGCTGCCAAATACAAAATCATATCAGTCCAAATAAATAAGTAGTGATCAGCAATGATATTTTTGTGTTTACACTGAGATTACCTCTTCCGAGCTGAAACTCCCTCTGACTCTCTTACGGAAATCTTCATCAACTTTGAAACTAATGACGGAAAGTCTGCTTTTGTTAGGCTGAAAAACTGCCATAATAGCCAATTCCTGCTTTAGAATTGCATCAAGTGCATAAGGGAATTCAAGAGGATCATCTTCATCGGCCTACATAAACACAATGAACTCTATTACACCATTTTTTAAAAAAGAATCAAACTTAATAAGGCGTCATTGTATACCTCTATCAATTCATTTTTCATTTGAAGAGCAGACTTCCCAATCAACATGACGCAATCTCCATCCCAAAAAATGAATCTGGCCTTGTATTTACCGTCAACAGCCAAGACTTCGAGTTTATATCTATAAGATAATCATAAACCATGATTGTAATGCCACCAAAAATTTAACAACATGAATTGTAAATATAGATACAGACAATACCTTGGTACGGGCGTTGGGCTAATGTGTTTGGAATAACATACCAGCTTTCCATCCTGCAGTGACGCACTTTTTGTGCAACCAACACATCCATCATAATACCAGCCTGACTGTCCAACCTCAAATTTTTCCAAAGTCGCAACAGTAACACATGTAGTCTCCTGATAAAACGATGAAACCCATAGTTAGTTTGATATGATGTATAATCACAATTTCACTATATAATGAAACATGTATTACGTGTTGCAGAGTTGTTATTTCAGCAAGACTTAGAATTTATGCCTTCCAAACAAACTTATCGAAATTAGAATAGTATGAGTTTTGTGTTGTGTCCACTTGAAGACTTGATGAAGACAGTAATGGCAATTCAGATTGTAGACTGCATGAAATATATGACAAATGTTCATAACCAGTATAACAAAAATATATTATACAACACGATAAATAAAATGATATCACTCAACACCTGTCTCTGAGCTTGATAACTACATCAAGGGTAACATCATTAATCAGCAACTTTGTGCCATTCCAAGCGTTGGAAATGTTCAAAGGAAACCCTCCTGCAAGTTTCAGTCATTCTTTAGAACATACAATTGTATTGAAGCAGCGATTAAATTTCATGTTACATCAATCTGGATTCACATTTGGAGAAAAAACTCAAAACTTGTATGTGTCAAACATTGAGCCTCCTTAATCCTGACATTAATAAGAAAAACAATTATACTTCCATCTTCCTTATGACTTTTATAATAATCGTGAAATTGTATGGGAAGCTGACCCCAAAGAGTACATTGAACTTCAGATCTGCTGCTTTGTCAAACATATTAACATTATTAATATGATGATGTTGGTTAAATTAATGTAATAATATTATACAAAAAATAACACGAAGCATACCTATTATCGGTAATTGAAAACACAACCTTGCTCTTTTTGTTATCAGCATTGATTTGAGTTTGAGAAATCTCGGTCACTCCTCCAAGAATATCTACAATAATTCATGTATTATATACTATATAGATTTATAGACGTTGGAAAAGAAATATTCTATGAATTAAACTAAAATCCACTAATAACATACCAACCAAAATATTATACTGGATTTTGCCTTCAACAATAGCATCCAAATGAAGAATGTTCAGGTAATTCATAGGAATATCAGGAAGTTCAGCCTTCTTAACAGAAGTTGAGCCACAGAACACCAACTTGAAACTATGATTAGTCGACTTAAAAGAGAAATTATTGTTTGACATTTTGAAATTCTGCATTACATATGAACATCCAACCGCGAGTTGCTCCTTGAATTTTGAAACCAAGAAGGGTGGCACAATGACTTGAATCGTATCTAACTGCAATAAACGAACATACAAAGTTAGTTTTACCAACACCAATATTGCAAATACAAATTCATAACGGCCAGACTGATATAATACCTCAGAATCAACCAAAATCATCTCGATGTGTTCCTTTTTCGATGCACTCGTCACAGTCCACAAATGCTTGCACCTAACAACAATCTTCCATAAATCCTTTGACTCATTAATATCCTTCACAGCTTCAATTGGGCGAGCCATATAGTTGATGTATCCTGTAACAACAACACGACAAAATTGGATGGATGAAAAGTTGAAACAATAGAAAAAATTGTAACAATAACACGAAATCATTTGCCCTCATCAGGATAAAAGAACCGTATCCTAAACCCTAAACAAAAATCCCCAATCTTTGAATGAGTCGCATCCAAATACTCTTTAACCATGTTCTGTAATTTACAGATCAATCAACACGAATTTAACCTAATCCTTCAAATTGGGGTTGAAAGAATCATCTTAAGATAACAAAAGTCAGGGATTTGGGGTCGACTGTGCATGTATTTGTGAAAGAAATAGAATCAGGTATAAAGAACAATTGGATATTCACTACATGAAGATTGAGAACAATTGGATATTCACTACCTGAAGATTGGGGAAAGGATATACTACAGTATTGAAGAAATACATTGCATATTTATGGCTGAGTCGCTTGAAAATGAAAGTTGTAAGGGTGGAGTTATCTATTGTTGGGAGTTATGGTTTTGAAAGATGCAAACTTTACTCTATCATTGAAAACAGAAGAAGTGTTGTGCGATGGCTTGTCTCCTGCAATTTTTGTTATTCAAAAGTTATTAACAACATTAGTTATAATTAGTTAAGTTATAATTAATAATAATAGATAATTATAATATTATAATAATATAAAATATATAATAATAATAATAGTAATAAAAATTAAAAACAATGGAAAAATCTATTGAGCTGACACATCAGCGACATTAAATATCAGAATAATATGGTGATATGAGTAAATCAAAAAGACTAATGTGCCCTTAAAAATTAAATAAATAATTAATTATAATCAGAGTACATTTAATGAATTTCGAGATACTTTAAAAATTATATATTAATAATAGATTAATAATTTTCAATTAGATGATAGTGTAAAAAAATTTCACCAATCGTGCATGCTCATCAAACTCATTTACTATTTATTACTAATAATTTACTTTCGTATAACGGCTATTTCCTTTTAAAACCATCCAATGGTATATTTTCAAAATTGCCCCATATATGATAATTTCAATTCTGGGAAGAAACTTATGGTAAATAATTTGTTTTATTTCTCTTCGTTTAAATCAACGGTCAAAAATTAAATCACAAAATCCCAATTCCATTTTCCACATCAAAATCCATTCCTCTTATTTTCGAAAAATATGACCGTTGCAACATAACTCCCCTATAAAAACACTTCAACTTCCACTGTTAAAGATAAACCGTTCTTTTACATTTCTGTACTATTCAGAAATTTCTATCTCGCTCTAACAATGGCCGATACAGTCGCTGAAATTCCAATTCCCACAAAGAAATCAAGAGGATCCAGAAAGGCTCTCAAGGAGAAAACTCCATCAGCGAGTGATGCCAATATCATAGCTGCGGAACCAAAGGGAAAAGCTGCATCGAAGAAACAACAACAGCCGAAGCAACAATCATTCGAGCAAGAATTGCTGGAGATGCAGGAGAAATTGAAGCAGTTGCGTCTCGAGAAGGAGAAGACCGACGAACTTTTGAAGCAAAAGGATGAAGAACTTGAAAATCGGGGGAAAGAGCAGGAGAAACTTCAGATTGAACTTAAGAAATTGCAGAAGTTGAAGGAATTTAAACCTATAATGGTTAGTTCATTTCAATTTTAATTTTTTTATTCTAATCTTTTTTTAACTTAGCCGTTTTCAAGTTTGAGCCTAATTAAAATTTGCTTTTATTTAGATTAAAATGTTTTTTGGGTAGAAATTATTTAAAAAATAACGAGTTAAATAACAATCGGGGCTTTTGCGATACCGATCGCGGTTACGAGATCGGTTTAACCGCCTCTGTGTTTTTGATCTGTACATGTGCTGCTATGTTGATTGTGTTTGTCACAATTTCGGTCTATACATGTGTTGCAACACTGTGATTTCAGTTTGTACGACACTGATTGTGGTAGTCCCGATTTCAATTTGTACGACACTATTGCATTTCGGTTTATACATGTGTTGTGACACTAATTGTAATCGTCACGATTCCAGTTTGTATATGTATTGCGACGCTAATTGTCATTGTTGCAATTTTAGTTTGTACAAGTATTTCCGCACTGATTCTTTGCAATATGATTTTTGGTCTGTACGGTTTTTGAAAAACCTTGCTTAGTCCTAATATTATAGGGATTAATAACAATTTTGTGCATATGATTGCACCACAATGTACAGAATTTTCCTATGGTGAAGGATAAGGAACAAGAGAAGAAGGACAAGAAGAAGAAGAATGGATGCTCTGAGACAAAAAGGCCTACTCATGCTTACACGTTATGGGTCAAAGACCAATGGCATGAGGTATATTTTGTATAATCAATCTAAACCTATTAGGATAAGTGGATAACAAATTGGTCAAAAAAATTTTCAATTTTTCAATTTGGTTATTTGGATTTGTTTGATGAAGGTAAAGAAGGCAAACCCGGAGGCCGAGTTTAAGGACATTTCGAACATACTAGGTGCTAAATGGAAGACAGTTACTGCAGAAGAGAAGAAGCCTTATGAGGAGAAATACCTTGCAGAAAAAGAAGCTTATTTGAAGGTAATTACAAAGGAAAAACGTGAGATTGAGGCAATGAAACTCTTGGAAGAAGAGCAGAAGCAGAAGACTGCTATGGAGTTGCTTGAACAGTATATGCAATTCAAACAAGACACAGAAAAGGAGAATAAGAACAAGAAGAAGAAAGTGAAGGATCCATTGAAACCAAAGCAACCTTTGTCAGCTTATTTCTTGTTTACAAATGATAGAAGAGCGGCTATTCTTGCAGATAACAAGGGTGTCTTGGAGGTAATTGAAAATCATATTATTGAATTGTGATCTTTACACGCATTGGCAAGTTTTAGACATGTACGGTAGCTCGTCTTGCACGCACGGGCAAGTTTTAGGGCTGTATGGTAGCCCGCCTTATGATAGAATAACTTTACTGAATGTGAATGTATGTGTCTTGTCAGGTTTCAAAGATCACAGGAGAGGAATGGAAAAACATGACCGAAGAACAAAAGAGGCCTTATGAAGAGGTAAAACCATAAGTTTTCATTAATCTTTTATCTTTATCTAAATAAAAAACATTCTCGCACGCTAATAATTATGAAACTTTTAGATTGCAAAGAAGAATAAGGAGAAATATGCCCAAGAAATGGAGGCATACAAACAGAAAAAAGAAGAGGAGGCTGCAAATATGATGAAAGATGAAGAAGAGCACATGAAACTTCAGAAACATGAAGCCTTGCAAAAGCTCAAGAAGAAGGAGAAAACTGAAAACATGATAAAGGAAACAAAACTGAATCGTCAGAAGAAGAAACAAAGTAAGGATTTTGATCCAAACAGGCCTAAGAGACCTGCTTCCTCGTATATTTTTTTCAGCAAAGAAGCAAGGAAGAGTATACTAGAGGAACGTCCAGAAATTGGAGAAGGCATGCTTAGAACACTGATTTCATTGAAGTGGAAGGATATGAGTGAGAAAGATAAAGAATTGTGGAGTGGAAAAGCATCTGAGGCAATGGAGGAATACAAGAAGGAAATGGAGGAATACAACAAATCTATTGTTGCAAAGTTGTTGGAGAAAACCACTGATGAATAATAATTTGACTTTGGCGTGTTCAAACTTGTGTTGAACAACAACATTGTTTTTGGATTTCTAGCTGCAATAATAATCAAGGAGTTATTACAATTGGTTTTCATTTTTAGACCATTTATATTCAACTCTTGTCTGATTTTTGTTTCGGTTCATGCCCTTGTAAATAAAGGAACCACTTTTTCGGTGGTAGGTTTTTTTTACTGAATACAAGACCACCTTTATATTCATTTTCTTTGGTAACTTGTCAACTCATGTCTCATAATTATGCACATTATTGACTGGATTTGATATATCCATGTTTATACAAAACATGCCATACTATTAAAAAAAACACCAAAATGCCACATTTTGATCAATGCTAAAACTTTTTCCCTTTATAGTCTGTTAACCGACTTAACAAGTTTTCTGTTATTTTTCAGGCGCTCAACCCAATCCATGGACGAACCTATTAAGGGAGAAAGTTTTTTTAGCATTGGTTCACCCAATGGATGTGGTATTTTGGAATTTTCTTTTCAAAGTGTGGCATTTTGGCATTTTGGAATTTTCTTTTTGATACTGTGGCAGGTGGTGTTTTCTTTTCGAAGTGTGGCATTTTGGTGTTTTCTTTTTCAGGGTTGATTTTTATTTTTTGTGAACTGTGGAAACTCTTCTGGAATTGTTGTTATTGTTGTGGGTACGTGAGAGTTGTTATAGTTGCGTGAATAGCGAGAACCATAGAAGAAAAGGGGTGAGGGGATTGATGAAGAAAGGTGAGAGTGGAATGGTTGAGGGAGAATGGAATCAAAGAGAATGCAGAAGGAATTTGAAAGTGGTGGTGAAGAAATGAACCGTTTGTGAGGGAGCAGAGCTATGGTGGAAGGAGGTTTGAAGAGGAGTGAGAATGGTGATGGAGGATTCAGTGTGAGAGAGAGGTTATTGTTATCAGCTCAGATGAAGAATCAATCTGAAGTGAAAGAGAAAAAGTCTCTTAAAGGAAGGAAGTTGAGAGAAAGATCTAAGATCAATGTCAGGACATTTAGTTATGTGCTTTCAGCTAGAAGCAAGGTTAATGTGAAAATCTGGTTTTGTATTCAGGGTGTTGTTTTTCAATGTAGACTAATAGAATGTTTGGTCTTTTGTTTGTTTGTTAGGCTCAGGTTGCTGGTAGAAATGTGCCAAATGATATCGTTGTCTTCTTATTCTTTTTTATTTCAACGTTTGCCCGTTTGTGCTGCTGTAGTCGACACCATATGCTCCCTTTTCGTAACACATCGTCTCATAATGTTGTTATTTGTAGGATTGAATTTGACCTATAATGATTCTTTACTGGATTTGATTATTTCTTTCACACGTAAGGAAACTTATTCTTTCATGCTTCAGTTATATTAGTAGCTATAATTTAATTCGTTAAACACTCTTTTCTCTATGAATGCAGTTTTGCAGATGATGCATGTTCTGCCTTAGAAGATTTTGATTAAAGTTCACAAAACAGTAGCTTGGGTTCGATGTTACCGTTCATACATGTCTCATTTTTTGGAAAATTGATAGTTCAAATTGGCAGCACCATCCATAGTTTCATTGTTGAGGTATAATTTTTTTTCCTCATTCACTAATTCTGAAGAAAATGCACATTTCCATACATGGTTCACATATAATGGCTGCACATTTTATCAACACCAATTATGAAAATCATGGTTCACATTTCCATTTCTATTATATGAACTCAATTCCATTTTTCAAATCCTACATTTTATCAGCACCAATTTTGAAAATCTTGGTTCATTATTTTTACATGAATAAAATTAGCCATTGTTTCATTTTATTTATAGATTCCCAATGATTCACAATGAATTTAAAAAAATGTTAAGGTATCCAAATAATTATAAGTTTCTTGATCATGTCCAATTAAAGATACAATAAGTTTCTGGTGTCAGCCTTATAGTTGCTTCGTTTATAAGTTACATGAAATAGGTTTGAAGATATGGAAAGACATCCAAAAAAATTAAAACATGCATTGCTTATTATCGACTTTCGATCTTTGTACTTTTATTATATATAGCTTTTATCAACTTTATTATAGTTGAAAAATGTGTGTAATATATTGGTCAAATATTGTTGTAAATTATTTTTATATTAAAAATTTTAATTATAAAACTATTTATTAATGTAATAGAGCAATATTAATACAATTTCCTTATTATTTTCTCATCAATGTCATGATGATATATGTTTAATTAACTGAAGCAAGTTCTTTGTATTTTATGTGTGAGCGTTGATATGAGTGCAAAATAGCGCACACAATATTTTTTATTGTACTTCATGTCATCAATACTCCAATTTATAATGTTTAGATTTATCAATTTAAGTTGGATTATGTGTACTATAAATAATAAAGATATTTTTCAGTGTACTATTAATAACAAACACAATTTATAATGTTAATATTTTTTATTAATATAAAAAAATTTATTCCGTATCTCACACGAATATACATATTAGTTAAATTTTATGACAGAGCCAGTCCAAATCTAGGGCGAGTGAGACAAGGGTTTCAGGCCTCCTCTTTTGGGCCTTAAATATATGTTTCAAATTCAAAAAATTAGGCCTCAAAATTATATAATTATTAGAAAAATTATTTGTTGGAATGTAAACAAAGCTAGCATAGTGACTAAAACATTAATTATGTAAAATTTTCAGACACTATTTTGATTTAATAAAATGCAGAAATTCTAATTTTTTACATGATTAAAATTAACAATAATAAAACAATTGGTTTAATTTTTAGTTAAATATTATTTCTAAAATAAAAATAATGAAAAAGTTGGTAAAAAATTAAATATATATTAAAAATTAATTTTGCTTTAGGCATTAAAATGTGTTGGGTCGGCTATGTTTTATGAGTATATCTTTGATGTTAAGATAGGTTTAAAATTTTTAAAATTGGATTTTTAATTCAAAATTTATATTTGTTAATTTATTTATGGGTTAAATATGTTTATGGTTCTTATGAATATCTCAAATTTTATTTTTAGTCCTGATCTGGACTGAGTCTACACTTGCCTCTCGGATAGGAGGGTCAAACCATAAGGCCCAAAGAACAGACAACCCAAGTTGGGGACCGTTGGGCAACTCCCCACATATCCGTTGGGGAACGTGGCCCACGTCCTCATGTCAATCATCTTAACTGCCCTCTGGGAATCACGGATCCAACCCCTATTCTCACGGAGCAGTTGACCAGGGGGAAGTCTATTTGCTGGACTCCATACACACGTAAGCCCTAGAAGTTCCCATTATTGGGAACACTGGAAGTTATAAATACTCTCTCTTTTGAGAGGGTCAGGTATTCAACACTTTCTAACTCTCACGCTTGCTTGCTCATTCCGCAACTTACTTTAGCATCGGAGTGTGTTGCAGGTACCCCCCCCCTCCATCTCACTCAACTTCAGCTTGAGCTAGCTGTAACGGTCCATTCTGGTCAGGTACGATCAGTGGCGCCGTCTGTGGGAAACTTACTTCCCCGTCTTCCGTTTACTCAAAACTAAAGCTAAATCACTCTTCCGACTGTCATGGCCGATCAAACAGTAGAAAACAACATGAACGTCCACATCCCCGACGTCAACAACAACGTCGCCGACAATAATGTCGATATCGACAATGCTGGTACTGCTGGCCACAACACGGCCCACACCGTCAATATGCCCGGGCCTTCAGAATATAGAGACAGCGCGACTGCCTCATCATCATCACTATCTCGACGACTTGAAGACGATCGACCACCTCTTCATAACTACCAACCCAACCAGTTCCTGGAGGTCCCTGTTCCCGTCGGGGCAGATGCCATGACCAGGGCACTGTTCGCGATGATAAACTAAACAAAGTATCTGATATTCTCTCAAGGTGAGAGACTGAGGGAGCTCGAAGATGCTCGGAGATCTCCCAAAAGACATAGGAGGCCCCATTCTCCTCCTCCCCGCCAAGCAGAGGAACGTCCCTAATCTCCCCCGCAGAGACGTAGGCGCGACGCCTCTCAAAATCCCTCTCCCCGACCTATCGGGCGACGCCCTACATTGGATACTAGAATATCAAAGAAATATAGTAGGGACCAGCTCACTGACACGGGGATACGTAATCACATCCCCTCGCGTCAAGAACAAAGACCCCCTAGAGACAGGAGCAGGGGAAATAACGAACGACAATCCCGCCCGAGGAACGCTCTGCGCGACCAGGGCCGCCCTAACCACCACTACAACAGATCTCCTTCTTGCTCGCCTGATAGAAGCGACGAAGACGACCACCGCGGTCCCTTGTCGCAATCCATCATGGAAGAACCCATCCCCCCGGGCATGAAGAAGCCTCCCCATCTGAAGGAGTACGATGACATTACCGACCCGATCGACTATATAGACGAGTTCGAGGAAATGCTCCATTATCATAATGTCGGGGGACCAATTAAATGTCGACTGTTCCCCACGACTTTGAGGAAAGTTGCGATGATCTGGTACAAGAGTCTCTCCCCGGGGTCAATCACCTTCTGGAGAAATCTAAAGAACCAATTCATCAGTTCGTTCACTACTTCACGTTGCCACCCAAAGACTGAAGCAGCCCTCGAGGCTATCGTCCAGAGACACGACGAGACCCTGAGGGAATTTATTGATCGGTTCAACCGGGAAGCCATCCAGGTCCCCTGCACCGATCACATGAAGAGATACCTGCTTGAGAGGGGACTCCTCTCGGGCACAGAATTCAGAAAGGTTGTTGGCATCGAACCGCCACGGACATTCGATGCCCTCCTCGAAAAAGCCAGAGCATACATGGACTACGAGGAAAGGGAAGCGATCAATAGAGCCCGGGACCCCAGGAATCATGGATCAACCAGTAATCCACGACAAGACTCCGGCTCTCCTCGACGAACGGGTGAGAAGAGGAGGGATGACAAACCCTGAGACCCATGTGAGCAAAGAGGACCCTCGAGGAGATTTATTGAGTACACTCTACTAACGGCTTCCTGCGAGCGCATTTTGGCGGAGTGTGCGAACACGAATTTCAAGGACAACGACGTCAAGCGTCCTCGCCCCGCTCTTGCTAAGCTCGGGGAAGATCAGAGCAAATACTACCAATATCATCGCAGCCATGGACACTTAACTGAAGATTGTGTCCATCTCAAGGATGCTATTGAGACCCTCATAAAAGGGGGAAGACTCGGGAAATATCGATGCGGTGATGCCCCCTATCGAGATGCCCGCGAAACTAGGGAGACGAGGAGGATGCTGGACCATCTGACGAGTCGGTTCCCATCCAAACACCATTCTCTGTTACGAGACCGGAGGACTTCTACGTCCCTGAACGTATGGAAGAGCCTCTGTCCACGCACATCAGGTGGGAAAGCTTCCCCTCCGCCATGGTCATAAATGGTGGAGGGTTTAATGAAATAACCATAAATTCAACAAAGAGGAAATTGGACGAGCTGGTCGACGTTGCCCCCTCCCCCCCTCCCCCAAACGGTGACCTTCGAGAGGGTTAAGGGAAGATCGGAGCCAATCACCTTTTACCTCGAGGAGTTACCCGGAGGGCCCACCAATTCAGCCATCCCTCTTCTGATCAGGGTGATAATGGCTAACTTTGATGTTCATCACATCCTGGTCGACGAGGGATGTTTTGTCGACGTGTTGTACATCTAGCTTTTCAGAACCCTGCAGCTCAATGATTCTCACCTTTCACCATACGTGGGGTTCGGCCTACAAGGCTTCAACGGCTCGACCTCCAAGCCATGGGGACACGTAGAGTTCATGGTCACCTTCAGCAAAGATACTGCCACCAGGCAGGTCAAGGTGCGCTTCCTGGTCATTGAATTTTCGTCCCTCTACAACTGCATCCTTGGTAGACCGACACTGGCGAAGCTGGTCGTGGTGCCATCCACCGTCCATCTAAAGATGAAGTTCTACACAAAAAGGGCACGCGTTTCCACCATCCAGGAAGACCTAGCAGTTGCCCAAAGATGCTTCAATACGGCGCACGGCCCTCCAAGAGAGCTAGAACAACGCGACCAAAGCCACAACAGTCAGAGCCATAACCCAGCAAGGCAGAAGCGCATAGGGCTCCTTCAAATGTCGACTCAATCTCGTTGGACACTCGCTTCGACCAAGATGAAGCACCCAACGGCGAGCAGGGGCTCTTTCGACCAATTCCGGATGGGGACTTCGAGCTCGTCCCTCTTGGTGAAGACCCGAACAAACGGGTAAAGATCAGAGTCGGACTCCCCGACCTGGCGAAGAAGCAGATCAAGGCCTGTTTAAGGGAGAATGCAGATCTGATTGCATGGAGCGCTGCAGAGATTCTCGGTATCGACCCCGAGGTTGCCTGTCACCAACTCGCCATTGATCCAGCCGTTAGGGCAGTAGTATAACATAGGCGTAGGCAGTCCCTCGAGAAGACGGAGGCTGCTGAAAAAGCTGTAAAAGACCTCC